TATGGAAAATCCTAACAAGTTTTTTGGGCTTGCTAACAGGGTATAGCTTGGGGGTTTATTTACAGAAGAGTGGGTGCCCCCCCATTTATGGCTGTGCTGGAAAGTCCACGCTCAAATATAGATCCTGTGACTTCCCAAATTTCTAAGTGTAAGATTTGTACTTGAGATCTCTTGCTACTGATTGAGCAGTGACTGAAATGTATACCACATGTGGGTGATCAGTCAGTGAGCACCAGTGCATATACCAAAGTCACCCAGCACTCACACCCAACACCCTTCACCGTGACTGATACAGGGGATGTAATTAGTTTGTTAAATGGAAGACAAAAAGCTACCAACAGATATGATTCTATGTCCATTTCATGAACTTTCCAGCTACCTACCCTTGACCAAAATGTACCTGCTGCTACCTGAATGCTGTTCTAAATAGGATTAGTGTAAGTATTTGTTGTTGTTAAAGATTTTATCTTCATAAGAAAACCTGACTATAGAGGGTTGTGGAATATGAACAATCCCTAACAAACTTTAGTAGACCATGTGCTGATAAGCTTGTGAAATCCTTCCAGAGAACTGCTTTGGACAGTGAATGGAAGGTAGAGCAAGCACTAGGCTTGAAATGTTTGAGGAAGAGGCATTTTTACTGAAACTAGAAGTGGGTATGCAAAAACAGAAGACTGGAAGCTATAACGTAAGTCTTACCTGATTTCATAATTTGGAATTCGTGGTATGATAGAACATGAATATTTGAGAATTAGGGCATTGATGTTGGGGTGGGAATCAAGGTGAGGGTAAAATACCAGAAAGCCATGACACCATCTGAGGATTCAGCTCTGTGGGAGAAATGAGACTTAGATACAGTATTTAAATTTTTTCTTTTGTTTATTCTTTGCAGTTTCATACATGTATATATGGAGTTTTCACTCCCCACTATCCTCTCCCGTTTCTTCTTCCCAACAGTCCCCCCTACTTAATATCTTCGATCTATGAGTTTAATTATGGTTGCTTGCCTGAGCATGAGTGGGAGGTATTTCCCAGGTAAAGTTTTGAAGAAACAGGCAGTTCCAAAGCTCCCCGACCTCCCTCAGCTCTCTCTTCTATCATCACTTCCTTTGCCCATCACTTCCTTTCAGCCCATACAGCTTTTAGCAAGATTCTCCCCTTTCTCATTCTCTCCCTAAATTCTGTACACTTTATATCTAAGTGTGCATATTTTCAGAACATTTAACAAGTCTTATCCAAGCACTAGCTTCTCTGCTGGGCTCCTAATTTGGTCCCTATAACACCTTTTAAATGATTGCTTTTATCCTCATTTTGCATATGGGTAAGTTGTGAACTATACATTAATGGACATCTTGTACCAGCAAACTAGGTTTTACATTTATTTCTAACAGTATAAAACTGACTGAACAAACTTATTTGCCATCCATCAGTTCATGGGTTACAACAAACAGAAAGTCACCATGATAGTAATTACTCAGGAGTGGAGCTACAGCCTACGCTTAAGGACAAAGTGCTGCAGGATTTCTTGGATGATCTCCATTAGGGTGTAAGCAGATAATGGTTTGAGATCCTGCAGCGTTTTGATATTTAACAGGGCAGGCTCAAACTGTAAAAGTCTTTGTATTGTGAAATTTCAGGTACTTGATATTCAATTGTCCATATTTAATTTTATGACATGGGATCAAACAGCTCTGGGTCAGGCTGTATTCTCCTAGGTGAGGTAAGGAACATTTTTGCTTAGACCTTCTCCTAGGAATACCTTAGCTGGGATGTCTACAAAAACCCATGTTGGAGACAGAAATGTGTTATATGGTAGCTTATTTTTAGAAAGGATATTAGGGAAGAACATGAATAAAACAGGGAAAAAAGAAAATCAATATGTTATTAACTTAATGGGGGGAATTTAAGGGAAGTTCCCCTGAGGCTTTTTGAGCTATAAAACATGAACCACCAGAGATACAGAAGGTGCCTGGTGATAACTCCTTTACAGTTCCAGGTTTGTACAAGCATTGGAATGGCTGGATGGATTGTCACTTAACATTTCACTGTGTGGCTGCAGAGGCCCAGCATAGGGAGCAGAGAACAAGTGGTACCGGCAAGAAGTGGTGCTCTTTGGCCATACCTGATGCAGCTGCCTGCCACAGCAACAGCAGAAGCCCTCCCAAAGATAAGCTGAGTAATAGGAAAGGAGGTGTAAAATACGACCAGTGCAGAGATCTGGGTAATGGGGTCTGAACTTAGGGCTTGATAGCAATGCTCAAAGTAGATAGAGGAACCACAGCTATTGAGCAAAGCCAACACTGTGAGATTCAAAACATGCTAAAGAAAGCTTAGAAGGATATTTTGTTCAATTCACCCAGTACCTTTTCAAAAAGGCACAAGTTTCATATCTTGAATTAATGAAACATGTCTGAATTACAAGTTACAAACAGCACCTTGGAGGATTTCTGCATAAAACCACCAACACTGAATATTCCATTAACTGATTTCTTGTAGCACACTCTGACCAGGTCAGTTCCCTGTTCAATATGGTCCATGAATTCTCCTTGTATATATTTGCTATTGTGGTATTCAAGTTCATCTTCAGTATGACTCCTGGTACTAGTCCAGGTCTGATGCCCAACTCTGCCCCCATCTTAACACTCTGAATTTCAGGAAAACAAAGGAAAATTAGGTTTATTTCAAGACAGTTTAACTAGAGAGGTTGGAGACCCATCGACTGTATTATCAAATGGCTCGGTGACTACTGAGGCTTCAATTTTCCTGTTGAAAAATTGCAGGATTAGATCAGTAAATCCTTGGCTAAATGTCTATATCCACACAGGAAGAATTAGAAGAGAAATGCAGGTTTTAAAGTGTCACCTTTGGAGATTCTTAGTCATTATGTCTGCATTGGGGTAGCAAGACATGCAACTTTAATAAGAATAAAATTGTGTAATTTAACTGTAAGACAGGATAAGATGATATTTTAAAATACTACTTCAAATCTATGAGGCCCTCAGAGTGAGAATGAGGTGTCATTAAACTCAAATGGGGCTCAGAAAACTTGGGGCGTTGAGGAAGTAAACTCTGTCATGATAGATGAGGAATCAGGAAAAGAACAAAGCCAGAAAATCAGAACAACGAATACATGGTAGGGGGAGTGGAATCAAGCTACAATGCTCTCTCGGGCTAAGCTTCAACTTTGGTAAAGCATTGTTCATAAATGATGGTGATTATTCATTAATATATCTCAAATTCTAAGAGAAGACAAGTTTGTTTCTCTTCCATGCAATTCCTCGGATGAACTGGAATGCAAGCAGTCTGAAGAATACCCTATTCTGAACTGGCAAAGCATTTTACTTTTTCCTTTTCTAGACCTTAAAACATCTCTTTATATATTTAGTCAGGGATCATATAGTATTGTTCAAGACACTGTCAGAGCCTTGAAGGCCAGGATCCTGTCCTGTTTCATTATATCCCATAAGAAGTTGTTAAAAGAAAAATTAACAACAGATTTAGAGTAAGATGAACCTAGACTTAATTATGGTCTTCATGATTTAATATCTGAAGAATTAGTTTATCTCTGAGACGGGGCTGTTAAATATGATTCAAGGGAGAAGAAAAATGTGTCATTGCACAAAAAATGGTATTCGATCTCCACATGCTGTGGTCAGAATATAATGCTAGGACAAAAATAGCTCTTTAAAAATGTTCAATATCTGGTAGATTGTTCTGTGTAATTCTTTGGATATCACTAAGTGGATGCCAATTGAATATATATCTATAATAGAGTCTGTATCTGTATTCTAAACTGGCTTCTAGTTCACTAGGTAGCTGAGGATGAACTTGGGCTTCTGTTCCTCTTGCCTCCTTGCCTTCCCAGTGCTGGGATTATGGACATGCACCACAAAGCCTGGTGCTGTGGATTGAATCCAAGGATTGGTACATGCTAGGCAAATACTAACAACTGAACTATATTCTCAGCTCCAAAAAATGTTTACATTTCCAAAAGCCCATTCAAATATTATCAAGGGTATAAGTGAAAATTACTTCTTGCGGTCTCCAGGGAATCTATGGTTTTCTACATTAATCAAGACTCCAGGTGTCTAAATCCAGAATAAAACTGCTTAGTTTCCTTGTAAACTGGAGGACTTCAGGGAAGAGCTCTGCTTCTTTAGATCTCTCCTCTGCAGCTTAGGACAGGTTCTGAGGTAGCATAGGGGGCTGTAACAAACCCATTGCAGAGGAAGTTGAAGGTGTCTGTGTTTGACGTCTTGTAGTGTTAGGACTGCAGCCTTCCTAAGCAACTAGGAGTAAGAATTGGAAAAAGGCAGTCCTGGAATTCATAGTTCACCGACTGTGAGTAGCTGAATCTAGGTGAATGATCTGAATGATTCCTAAAGCTCTGGGAAACACTTTAACTGCAGGCAGAACACCCTAGACGCTGGCCGCCCTAGCTTCTGAGAGAGCTCCCCCGAGAAACTTGGCCTTTCCTTACAAACAGAAGCTAGGGTAGAAGTAGGACATAGCGTAGGGACCAAATTAAGAGAGTCTCCTTAGCGGCTTCCTGGGGTCCTTTCCAGCTTTGCTACCCCTTGTGTCCTTTGGGGGTGCTGCAGGGCCGGGTCACTGGGGCACAGGCAGCCAGAAACCAGTCTTTGTGTAGTTCAAAATCTGTGCGTATTCAGTTCTCTAGAAGCCAAGAGATAACTGGGAGGGCAGCAGTGGTCTCTTTCTGCCTCCACAGTAGCTCTTTTCCCTTTTCTCCACAGAATGCCTTGAGGATGGTAGCCGAGAATGCCTCTTCTGTGACTGAGTTCATCCTCGCAGGCTTAACAGACCAGCCAGAACTCCGGATCCCACTCTTCTTCCTCTTTCTAGGTTTCTACGCGCTCACCGTGGTAGGGAACCTGGGCTTGATCACCCTGATAGGGCTGAACTCTCACCTGCACACCCCCATGTACTTCTTCCTCTTCAATTTGTCTCTCATAGATTTTTGCTATTCCACTGTTATCACTCCCAAAATGCTGGTGAGCTTTGTCTCAAAGAAGAACATCATCTCCTATCCTGGGTGTATGACTCAGCTCTTCTTCTTTCTTTTCTTTGTTGTCTCTGAATCCTTCATCCTGTCAGCCATGGCATATGACAGGTATGTCGCCATCTGTAACCCCCTGATGTACACCGTCACCATGTCTCCCCAGGTCTGTTTACTCCTTTTGCTGGGTGTCTATGTGATGGGCTTTGCCGGAGCTATGGCCCACACAACATGCATGGTGAGATTGACCTTCTGTGCTGACAACCTTGTCAATCACTACATGTGTGACATCCTGCCCCTTCTGGAGCGCTCTTGCACCAGCACCTATGTGAATGAGCTGGTAGTCTTTATTGTTGTGGGCATTGATATCGGGGTGCCCACAGTCACCATCTTCATCTCATATGCCCTCATCCTCTCCAGCATCCTCCGCATCAGTTCCACTGAAGGCAGATCCAAAGCCTTCAGCACCTGCAGCTCCCACATAATTGCGGTTTCTCTCTTTTTTGGGTCAGGAGCCTTCATGTATCTCAAACCCTCTTCTCTTTTACCTATGAACCAGGGGAAAGTGTCCTCCCTGTTTTACACCATTGTAGTGCCTATGCTCAACCCATTAATCTATAGCCTGAGGAATAAGGATGTCAAAGTTGCCCTGAAAAAAACCTTGAGTAAAAATTCATTTTCCTAAGAAAGGGCCAATGTTTTGGAAGGACATAATTTTTTCCTTATAGAGTTAACTGAGGCATCATGGGTTACACAGAGGAAATTTTAACTCATTTTTTAATGGGGTTGGTTTTCTCTATTTGAGAGGTTTTTTAGAAGACACTTAAAGCTATAGAATGCTCATATTTAGCAGGTGTGAAGGATCATCTAAATCAGTTCTCTTTTCTCTGAGAATAGAGACAGATTTATGTCCCTTCCTGGGGACCAGGCTCTTATCAGAGCAGTAGCTAGACCACAGGTTCCTTATTTCTCCCGCTGGTTGCTTTCCGTTATGGCTCACTTTCTTCCTCCTTAGTTTTTGGAAGATTTTATTTCAAATATGAACTGGGCTGGGATATTAAAATCTGGTTCTGACTATAGAAATTTCATGCAACTTTTCACGGGCTAATTTTAAATAGCACATTTTTGCAAGAAGGTAGGAGGTATAGGATTTTGTTGAGATGCTCTTGGCTAAATGACCAGAGAAAATTTGAGGCATTTTGCAGTGTGGAGGAAGTATGGAAGGACCTAGAGAGCAGCAGCATTACACCGCCTGAAACGATGTGGAGCCTGGACTTTCAAGGATTTGTTGATGATGTTGACTGGGAGGACTTACAGAAAATATGAATGTTCCAAAGGACAGAAATATTCTCTTTTAGTGGAGCCTTATATAGCCCAGGCTGGTCTCAAACTCACTTTGTAGAAAGGCTGGCTTTGAATTCCTGATCTTCATGCCTCTACCTCCTAAGTGCTGGGAGGCTGGTGGGAGCCATCACATCCAGCTCAAGGAGTAGAATTTGGTAATTATTTCTCACACATTCATTTCTGTGTTTTCATATTGTGCTTTTTAAAGTGAGAGTAGAGAAGTCCACAGCTCAGAGTGATCAGTTCAGGTCCTAGAGAATACTATAAGAACATAGAACTTGCTGTGGGTCATAATCAGGTTAGCTGAAGATAGCCCCCAATCAGCACCAGAAATGTGCATGGAATGTCACAGGTGCTGCAAACATCAGAGACTAGGTGGGGTATTTTCTTGTACCTTCTCAGATGAACTTTCTGCCCCTTGGTGCCTCTCTCCAAGTCAAGGGGCAGTAACTGAATGCTCCATTTCCTACCGGGTTCCAGCAATTACAGCCTCACTTGCTACCTCCTGCCAAGGTGTCCTAAGGACTCCCTGCTGCTGTCGCTGCCCACAAAGCTTCACCATTCCTTTGTGGTCCCTTCCAACTACCAATTTGCCCAAACCTGTGCAAATAGTTCCTTCACTGTATGTTTTGTTCACTTTGTTTGACTAGATCTTCTGTTTTCTGTTGGGATTCTTGGATACATTCCCAGTAAGGAATGGGATGAGCTGATAGATTGCAGATCCGTAAACCAATAAGTGTTGTGTAAAGAGAGGCACAGTTGCCTTTTGGTTCAAAAGAAAATTATGAGTGATAATTCCTTTTGTGCAAAGCAATGATATGTGAAATGCTTTGACTCAATAGACTGTCTATGATTAATCTCTTCCAATTTAGAAAAAAAGAAATGTGGACAGATGTGTTGTTTGGCTCTTTGGGTGGGTCTGCAGATCTATATGGGTAAATTCAAAGGATTGAGCATCTGTGACTGGAGAGATGATTCCATGGTTAAGAACACTGGCTGCTCTTGCAGAGGACCTGGGTTCAATTTCCAGCACCCACATGGTGGCTAACAACCATTTGTAACTCCAGTTCCAGGAGATCCAATGCCCTCTACTGACCTCCACAGGCACTGTACTTGTATATATGCAGGCAATACACTCATGCACATAATAAAAAGTAAAAAAAGAATGAACATCAATACATGAACAGAGCAGAATTCAAAGTTATTAGGGCAGGGAGATGGGGCAGAACAGCCTTAGAATTCAGAAGGAGAGGCTAGGGACAGGAATAGAGGGTAGAGTCAAATTTGAATTCTAGATTTTACCCAGTAGCTGTATAACTTTAAGTAAATTATTTGATGTCTCTGAACCACATTATTAAGGAATTAAATTCTAGGCACTCAAATTTGTTTTCACCTCTAATATCATTACTTTAACTCACCTATTGTGTGACTTTGGGACAATTTTTTACATTTCTGAGTCCATGCTTGCTCATATGGAAAAGATCATGTTTCACCCGATTATTTCTACATTCCATTTGTAATGTGTACTTATTTGTATGTTAACTGGATAGTACATGCCTGCTGCATATTGAATTAAATATGATACATTAGGACCTAGAACCTTTGAGAAGTGATTAATTCATGAGGGTGAAGCCCTTATTAATGGGATAGTGCATATACAAGAGAGGACAGGAAACCCCTTTCTTTAACATCACATAAGGACAAAGCCAGGAAGTTCAGTCTCTGAGGGTTTTCTGAAGTAGAATATAGAATCTATTGACACCTTGACCTTGTACTTCCCAGCATCCAGAGCTATGAGGAATAAATTGTCTATAACCTGTCCACTGCATTATATTTTTTTCTATAATAGTCTAGGAAAACTAAGAAAATGTTTATAGAATTTATAATTATTACTGAAAACTAACCAAAGAGATCAAAGAGAGGACATCTCCCTTTATGCTGGATTTCTGGTCTTCCTGTAGTCTCCTTCAGAGTCAATCTTTGTGTGTTAGTGTGTCTTTTTATACTTAATGCATGTACATGAGTGTGTGTGTGTGTGTGTGTGTGTGTGTGTGTGTGTTTTGCTGGGGGTTACACCCAGGTCTTTAAGTCTTCCAGACAAAAGCTCTACCACTATTAACTGTACCTATGACTTTATTGCAAGTGGAGCTCATAGATATGTTTAGCTCATTTAAAACATTTTGAAATAGTGCCTGTGTTCATCACTACTTTAAAAGTCTACCTAGAAGGCCAGGTGTGGTGGCACATGCCTTTAATCTCAGCACTCGGGAGGCAGGGGCAGGTGGATTTCTGTGAGTTCAAGGCCAGCCTGGTCTACATAGCAAGTTCCAGGCCAGCTGGGGCTACAGGGAGAACCCATCTAAAGAAAACCGTCTACCTAAAGAATGCTTCGAATCTTCCTTGACTCTGAGGTTCCCTTAGCCTTGTCCCCCCATTCTCCAAATCCTATACATTTCTAGGCTGTGTTATATCTGCACATACACATAAGGAAGTATACAAACATTACCATGCATACTTATATTTTCTAACTCTTACATTTTTCACATATGATCATACATCTATTTACAACTGTTCACACATGCACACTTATGCAGACACACAACATTGCAGCTTTGCTTTTGAGAAGGAATCTTTTACTAGTTCTCCTCTCCTCAGCATGTGTCAGGGGCTTGGGGTCTTCCCAGAGTCATTTGTCTTTAAAACCCAGGGGCATTAGAAACCCTGTAACCATAAACCACGAAGAATCCAGAAAGGCATAAGACAGGCCAGCATAGCTAACAGGTGAGCTTCAGATTCAATGAGCCACTCTGCCTCAGAAAATTATGTGACAAGCAATTGAAGAAGACATCTGGACATCAACTCTGACCTCTGTAGGTGCCCATGGGTGAGTGCACCCCCCAAACATGCACATACATGCATAACACACATGTGAAGAGCAATGGAAAAAGGCATCAACCTCTGGTTTCCACACACAAACACAAACACACATGCACATGTACACACACACACATCTGCACACACAAGAATAAGTACTTATACCACACATGTACATACAAAGCATATAAGCAATAAAAAAGAAACGAGGAAAGGGAGAAAACCGGAAATGTTTTCTTTCTTCTTTTTACTGATCTCTTGGCTTGACCATTAACCATAATACCTGGCCCTTAGCTTATGAATCATTGGTCACAGGGTAAGGTCATTGCTTGCTCACTTTTTGGTATCCATCCCCATCATAATTAGGCTATAGGGTTTGTGTATACAGTCCCTGCTTTTCATGTTGATGCATCTCCCTCACCCCAGCACAGTGCCTTGCACTTGTGAGGCTGATGTTAACAACTATTTCTGGACACAGGAATGGAGTATCTTGTAGTTTATGACCTGGCTTAGTAAGTGGAAGTTCCCATTCTCATTCTTGTGACTGTGTTCTCTTCCAACAGATGTGTTTGTGTGTCCTGTTTTATCACTCCAGCCCCCTGATTATCCTTTCTCTATGGACTTGTGACCTTCAAGGTTCATGCCACCTGACAGCTGAAGTAGAAATATGGTCCTTACTTAGAGAAATAAGCCCAAACTTTCCACTTCCTTTGGCAAAATGTATGATATTAGATAAAACGATTAAACTAAATCATTATCTAATGGAACATGGGGCTTTGAAGAATGTTTTAAAAATTCCAACAAATTGACATTCATTTTTCATTAACTAATATCCAAGAGATGACAGAAGAGAGAAAACTCTGGACAGTGAAAAAATGAATCACTCAGATTTGCAGCTGTTGTTTCCCCAGAGTCCTGCCTTAATTCTGGCTCTCACAAGAACATACACTTATAAAAACGCTACCAGGACCATAGCATGATTCTTCTTTGCTGACTTCAAGGCACTACAGCACTGCTTCCTCAGGACAAAGCTTCATGTTTTTTGTTCACAAATGAACATGCGCTGCATGTCCTCTCAGGGTGGCTTCTGCAGCCATTTGATAATTCAAAGGTTTTGTGGTGTCAGTTGCATAGTAATTTTATTGGGAATGGTTATTATTTTGACATTTACAACTGTCTATTGTAGTGAGATATTTTGAGACTGTACAAAATATGTTGTTCCCTTCCAGGCTTTCACACAAAAATTTTAGCATACATTGAGAATTCTTGCCTAAGTCAATTAGTGCCCTGTTGATTAAGAAACAGAGATTTAAAAAAAATCAATCAAACCTTTCCCCTTGGAATTCTGCCAGAAAGAGACCTTTCTTATTCATCTATTCACTTGCATCTATTTATGGACTTATGTATTTTAGTGTTAGCTAAAGGATCATGAATTTACCCTGACTTGGCTGAAAGGAACTTTTCCACAACTTGTTTCTATGTCCT